GTTGTTGTTGTCGTTGTTGCTTTTGCTGTTGCTGTTGCTCTTGCTGTTGCTGTTGCTGTTGTCGTTGCTGTTGTTGTTTTTCCTGTTCCTGCGCCTGTTCCTGCTCCTGTCGTTGTTGTTGTTTTTGTTTTTGTTGTTGTCGCCGTCGTCTTCGTTGTTGTTTTCACTCACTCACTCACTCACTCACTCACTCACTCACTCACTCACTCACTCACTCACTCACTCACTCACTCACTCACTCACTCACTCACTCACTCACTCACTCACTCACTCACTCACTCACTCACTCACTCACTCACTCACTCACTCACTCACTCACTCACTCACTCACTCACTCACTCACTCACTCACTCACTCACTCACTCACTCACTCACTCACTCACTCACTCACTCACTCACTCACTCACTCACTCACTCACTCACTCACTCACTCACTCACTCACTCACTCACTCACTCACTCACTCACTCACTCACTCACTCACTCACTCACTCACTCACTCACTCACTCACTCACTCACTCACTCACTCACTCACTCACTCACTCACTCACTCACTCACTCACTCACTCACTCACTCACTCACTCACTCACTCACTCACTCACTCCCACACACTCACACTCACACTCACACTCACACTCACTCACACTTACTCACTCATCACTTTGGCATGTTGTCGAGCGCACGGCCCGGGGCTCAATTTGCGTGACAGGTGCAGCGCTTTGGAGATGGTGCATAGACTTGGTGGCAGGCGCAGTGTTGTCTGCATCTGGGTGTGTGCTTGCGTGGCAGGGACAACATATAGCACCTGCTTAAAGGGATTTGATGTTGTCGAGCGGGGCTCCACCGAAGCGAAGGGACTGGATGTTGTCGAGTGCGCGGCCCGGGGCGTGACAGGCGCAGCGCTTTGGAAGTAGCGCATAGATTTCGTGGCAGGCGCAGTGCCTTCTGTATCTGATAGTTTTGCTTGCGTGGCAATGGCAACATGTAACATCTGCTTGCAAGGATATGATGTTGTCGAGCGCGCGGCCCGGGGACTCAATCTGCGCGACAGGCGCAGCATTTTGGAGATGGCACGGCAGGGGGGTGACAGGCGTAGCACTTTGGAGATGGTTCGTAGATTTCGTGGCAGGCGCAGTGCCTTCTGCGTCTGAGTGTTTTGCTTGCGTGGCAGGGGCAACGTGTAGCACCTGCTTGCAGGGGTATGATGTTGTCGAGCGCGCGCCCCGGGGCTCAATCTGCGTGACAGGCGCAGCACTTTGGAGATGGCGCGCAGATTTCATGGCAAGCGCAGTATTCTCCGCACCTGCCTGTGTGTGTGTGCGGAGTGGCAGAATACCCTGCCACCACTTACCGCAGGGGGCGTGGCGGTCTCCTCGTAGCCACGCCAACGAAGCTATCGAGGATGACTGGATGCATCAAGGGACGCCTTGATGTGTACCTGCACCAGTTTTGCAAATGTCTATTTGGCCCCTTGGTTGCGGCGCTGTTTGTGCTTCTTGTTCTTTCGGGTCACGTGTTCGCTGCTAGACGGAAACCAAGTGAATGCAAGCCGAACCTACACCCACTCGAGACTCATCAGTTGTACTCGAGACTCATCAGTTGTACTCGAGACTCATCAGTTGTACTCGAACGATTAGCATCCTCCCTTGGGAGTTGAAGTGTGATCACCCCATCTTGGAGGAACTGCGCGACAACACCAGTCCCTTAAGACAGCTGCCACATGCCGCCCCTGGCACGCAACACACACTTCAACTCCCAAGGGAGGATGCTAATCGTTCGAGTACAACTGATGAGTCTCGAGTACAACTGATGAGTCTCGAGTGGGTGTAGGTTCGGCTTGCATTCACTTGGTTTCCGTCTAGCAGCGAACACGTTACACGAAAGAACAAGAAGCACAAACAGCGCCGCAACCAAGGGGGCCAAATAGACATTTGCAAAACTGGTGCAGGTACACATCAAGGCGTCCCTTGATGCATCCAGTCATCCTCGATAGCTTCGTTGGCGTGGCTACGAGGAGACCGCCACGCCCCCTGCGGTAAGTGGTGGCAGGGTATTCTGCCACTCCGCACACACACACGCCCCTCAAAGAGGGGCGAGAATCACTTTTCCGGGGGGAAAAACAAGCCCCCAAACCGGGCGAAGACCCCAACAGAAAACAAACGGAGCAAGGGAACCCAAAAGAAACAGAAAGGCCCCAGGTTGGGTCACCGCGGGCAAAACCCCAAACAAGAAACAAGAACAACGGGGAAGCCAGGTTAAGGGTCTCCGAGGGCAACAACCCCAAACAGCGCAAAACGACCTAGACCTTGTAGACGAAAGGGGCCGCGAAGGTGAAGAGGCAGAAGAGGAACAGGCCATCCCTAACCGGGCGAACAGGAAGTACAAGAAGTAGCCCAGAGAGGGAAAGAAAAAGAAAAGAAAGAAAGGAATTGAACGAAAGAAAGAAAGAAAGAAAGAAAGAAAGAAAGAGAGAGAGAGAGAGAGAGAGAGACAGAAAGA